TGACAGCTGTCGTATTACCTCAGGGCTTCGTCCTCTTCTCCTCCTTCCCGTCGTCATTTGCCCGTTGCAGTGAGTCAAAACAGGAAGTGATATGTATTTATTTTTCATCCTGTATCTCTGGTAACAGGGTGATCATTTCCTCTTTATTTTAAAAGCCATCATTACACAGTATTTTGAGAAAGCTGACACCTGACCTGCTGTGTGAAACAAGGGCTGCAACTTTGTTTTGCTGCAACAGAACTCAAACCGACGCGCTGTAGCTGGAGCTTCCCTCCTCTCCCGACAGGAATAACAGAGCAGAAAAATGGTTGTTTGAACTGGACGTGTATTCTGTTCCAGCCCTGCTGCTCCATCAGAGAACACTCGGGCCTCTGTGCCCGCAGACAGACTGATGATAACCTCTGTTAGCTGTGATCAGAGAGGAGCTCTGTCCTCCTGCTCAGACACAAAGCTCAGCTGTGAGCCTCGCTGCTGCAACACAACTGCTCTTACAAGCTCTTTGATATCCTCCGAGACTGAAGCATTGACCCCACGAAAATCCTGTTTGACTCATATCTGAACGGATCAACGTGATTATAGGATCCAGGTCTGAGAGTCAGCTGCTCGTGTTTAACATGAAGGGGCTTGGCTTCGCTGTCCTTGAGTTGACAAAGCTTTTTGGTCTTTGGATGGATCTTTGGTCAGCGGTGTTTCAGTACACCTGCTGTTCTTGATGGCAAAGGTGGTTAAGAATAATCGCATGAAATGACTAAACGTTATGGAAATGTGTCCAGTAATAAACAGTTTATTGTTAAAAAGAAAGTCTGTAGAGATCATGTCCGCTACATCTGCAGCAGTCAAGACATTTTCTGTGAAGCAGTTCGGCCGTTTGACGATCATATCAACAATAAAAGAGAGCATCTGTAATGGCTCTACCTATTTTAGATTTACTCATTTATTGGGCGATGGGACAAAATGTATTTAAAATTTTAATAAAAATCCCCATCAGCCTGCTGTGTTAATCCACTTTTAACCTCCAATTTAAAATTATAATTCCCTCCATTGTTTTTTCTGTGTGTTATAACCTTTGATCATCTGACGTCGGGCTCCTCAGTACCATCAGTCAGCTCTGTCTGCTCTCTACAAACTGCTGTGAAGTTGTGTTTTGGGACGGAGGCGGCTCACTGGGCTGAAAGAAATGATGAAAGTTATTTAGCTGGAAAATCATAGGGATATAAGTATAAATAGATTTTTAGTAGGTAATTTCTTATTGCACCATTTTAATCTACTCCATTCTCCCCTTAGTTTAGTGTTTACTCCCTACTCGAATCTGCTCGCCTTGCTTTCCCCCTTCAGTTCTCTTTTCCTTGCACTCACACACCTCCGGTCTCTTACCGCAGACATACCTGCTAGCCCGCTCTTCCTGTCTCTCTCTCCCTGTATGTGCCTCTGCTCTCCCTGACTTTCTTCATCAGCAGTACGTTGTTTTTTTTTAAAGTCGCCAAAAAAACACAGAACTCTTCTTTTGGATTTTTCCACCCGTGATTCTGTTTTCACAGCAGCAGGTTCGCCGCATGTGGAGGCGGCTTGATAAAGACGTAGCCAATTGACATCTGCACTGGTGTGTTCACTGTCACTTTACCTGGTCCGTGCTTGTAAAATATCCGCGTCTTGGTAATGGTAGAGTAATAGATTGCATCTGTCTGTGTGATTCTCTGCAAAATGCTAAAATGTGCCACCAAATATACCTGGGCAGCCATTTACACACCTGGGAGGCCCGCCCAAGTAAAGTGTGTGTATATGTGGGAAACACTGCTATGTCCATGTTGTTGATTTATTTTAAGAAGAGCTGCAGGCGTTGTATTTAATGTCATAGGAAGTTTGTGTAATCTGGTATTAAATATAGATATAATGTAGGAACACATAGGCTAAAAGAAAATATTATAAAAAGAGAATGGTTTAGACGTTCTCTATGAAAATGGAATAAATACAGTAAATAGAGTCAGCAATGTGTTTGCACACACTGAGAAGGAATTTGATGAGCGTGGTTTTAAAGTTTTGAGAGTACATGAGTTCAGTGCACCGAGAGTTTGATCACATTATCCAGGCGCTCTGCCCGGGTGGAGCTGCTTTCTGTTTGTGATGCTGAGGATGAAACCAACTGTACGCTGTAGCGGAAGCTGCCGTGAAACAACAGATAAAAAGATTTAAAAATAATAATAACCTTGTGAATGTGCTCCGGATGGTGGGAAATCAAGGTCTCTCTTTTTCTTCAGATCACAACATCGACTTTGTGGCGATGGACGTGGCTGTGAACGCTGCTGCCGGGGCGCTGAAGGCTTTCTTTGCCGACCTGCCCGACCCGCTGATCCCCTACAGCCTGCACCCGGAGCTGGTGGAGGCTGCAAGTAAGAATAAACTCACAAGCATACACCGTCTTCATCGGGTCTGAGGAAACACATGAGCCAGGAATTACATATTATCAAACATTCTCCCTCAGACACCTTCAGGGCCCAGTAAAAAAAAAAAGACTTTTTTGTGAAATTACTAAAATGCACAAACGAGAGAAGGCGTCGGAGGAGACGGTATGTACGAGCCTTGAACCTGTCGGGGCAGAAAACAGACGAGCTGGAAATGCGGGTGGGGAAATGTGAATAAATGTATATAAATTATGTGTATAAATTGGCCTTAACAATGATCAACCGCCTATGTGGATGAAAAAGTTTGGGAACGAATCCTTCCTATACAAATGCTGTTTAAATAACTTGCTTTGAGGGATCGAATAGTCAGCATACAGGGTTCACTTTGGACAAATATTAATATTTTATATGCATGTTTCTGTTACCATTTGGGCATTTATAGCCTCCAGTTTATGTTCTGTAAAACCAGACCGAGCTGTGGCTCTGTAGCCTAAAGCTTGCTGCACACTAGATCATAATTAGGCCAATTTTTGGGTCCGATTCTCCCTGCTGACAACTGCGCGGACGTTCCTGAGCCGAGACCTGTCAGAACCCCAAATGATCCACTTGTGTGAGAAGTTACAGACATAGTCTTAAGGTTGCCGACTAGATCAGAGGCTCCCCGAGTTTGATCATATTGAACATGTTTGAAATCTGGGAGCCTCTGGTCAGAAACCCGCAACAGCCAATGAGAGTCTAATTTCTTTCGCCATAGTTTCAAAATGAGCCGGATATAAATTAACATTAAAAACTTCTAACGTTGTGTTTCCGCCGCTGCTGTAAACTCGCGCGCTCACACGCTGACGCATCCGACTAGACACAACCACTTTTCTTTTGAGGTAATTACTAAGGGTTTGAACCGCGTTGAGTGTTTCCACTGCCAGTGAGAACGCGATGAAGCTAGATGCTAAATTTGGAGTGCACAGGTATTAGAGCCTTTATGGTAAATGCAGTTAAAAGGAGCAGAGCGAGCTGACAGGCAGGGTCATTTTCTCTCTTTACAAAGTGTTACAGCATGAGAGGCCATTATATCTTAATTATACACAATACGAGCACAACGTGCAATATAATGTATCAAATTGTGTCGGACTTTGTGAATGGAGGATATACACGTGTGACAAAGTCCGGTTTTCAAAATAAGGTGTTAAAACAATGTACACAGCATGGAAATAAGATTAATTGGATTATATTCACAGAAAGTATAAAACGTATTGCATGTGTCCATTAAAAGTAAAATAAAATATCAGGGAAATTGGTTACAAAGGATTCTTTGATTAATGGTTGCTGGAAAAACATCATCATCATCATCATTTATATTGTGTTTATGATCAAATTGTTTACTAGGGCCCAAAATTGTTAACAAGAGTGCAAAGTTCTCCATAGACCTAGCCTCTTTAATTTGCTTTAAAGTGCACCAAATTAATTAAATTAAAATGCACAAATCTTTCTTCCGGGGGGTCGACCCACCATAGTCTCACAAAATCCTGTGTGAAGCGTCCCCAGCGTGGCGTGTATGCGCTATAAAATGTATAAACCTGCTGATTCCTTCTTCTCAGCTTTGAGTTCATCTAGTTTGATTCTCTTTGTTTATTTTTCTGTGCAAAACACAACAACAACAACAACACAGAAGGTCCACCGTGTTTGCTTCTGTCTGAAGTCATGTATGATCACCGCAAGTTTTCCGGAACCGCCGCTCTGACATCCTTTAGTTAAACCTGTTTGTTCTTAAACATTTTTTAAATCGGTTTAGATTTGCAAACATACTTTACTTACTTACTTTATAGTGCATTTAATTTACACACAGTAATTCGTATCAATCGTTTGTAAGTGTTCAAAACAGCTGCTCTGTGTTTTGAAACAGTCGGTAAATAGCGAAGCTGTCTGTTTCATTACTTTATATCCATGCAGTAAATATACAAAGGTCAAATAGATGGTAAGAAAAAGAGAAAATATTTGTTATGTTTGTTAATAATCACTGGCTTGTATCGATCAGTTAACCCTGTCAGACATGATCACGATAAGAGGTTTCTACTGTAACTACTGACACACACACAGGCGCACTTTTAACTTCTTGTTTGTTGAAACTTGTCTTCAATGCTGCAGAAATGTAGTTGAGTACACACACACACACACACACACACACACACACACACACACACACGCAGCTTTCTGTCACATCACACACTCTTAAGAGGATTTTTTTTTACAGCCTCAGGATGCTGTCAGACATCTACAGTCTGCTCTGTGTGTGTGTTCTCTGGTTGTATATTAGTGATGCTGAGTGCTGAAACCACCGACGACAGCAGATTAATGAGCCAAAAATACACACCTGCACACACAGCGAGAAATGTAAAAAGACATCACACGCACACACACACACACTTTAATGAGTTTCTGAGAGAAGAATTGGAGAGAGAGAGGGAGGGAGGAGGTGCCGGGTCTTCTCTGGAAAATTAGTCAAATATAGCAGAAACTTTTTTTCTCTCCTGTGATTTCTCTCTAATCACTAGATTGCAACTGTTTGACCTTTGACCTCCTCGCTGTCTGTTCCTCTTTGATAGGAAACGAGGACTCAGGCTTTAGTTCACAGATGAATGTTAATATCCAGATTTAGGTTGTTTGCTGGTTTATACCTGTGATGGTCTCACGTTCTGCCTTTACTTCTGTCATTCTAGTTTTCCTTCACAACCTTGTGTCTTTTAGTTTCTGTTGAAGTAAAATTTATGTATTTTTAAACTTTGGCCCCAGTTTTCACATATTTTGGTGTCAAAATGACCAGTAGGTACGAAAGTTTTTAGAATCGAGGGCAGTTCTCGCTCTGTGAAATCTAATGAGAGGCGAGATGTTGCAGGAAGACGACGGTGGAAACGTGAGTCGGAGTTGGAGAGAGGAGTTTGTTGTGTTGGAGGAACGTACTAGGAAATAAAGTTTTGATAGCAGCTCCGGTACGTACACAACAAACTCCTCCCTCATTTCCACCGGCGTCTTCCTGCAACAACTCGCCTCTCATTAGATTTCAGACTTCAGCTGCCTCTCAAAGATCCTTCCCATGATGTTGTCCTGGTGTCCGGGTGGCAAAAAGAAGCGCTTCTTGCGGACGCCATCTTGGCAGCGCCTCACTCTGCTAAATCCAATAATGAGCAAAGAGGTGGAGCTGAGGCGGGCTGAAAGAAGCGTGGTTGCAAGCGTGTTTGTGGGATTGACTCGCTTTTGTAGCCAGTACTTACATCGGGGAAAGGCGTTGTTTTAAGTATCCGTAATGTCTCAATAATTTGCTTGTTTCCTGCAAAGAATTACATGGTTTGGTACTAAATATAGGAATAATATAGGAATTGGGGGAGGTTCTATTTTTTCCTGCCAGCAAGAAAAAATGAATTGAGAAAAAAGAAAGTCGGCAACGTGTTTGTGCACAATTTAAGGAGGGTGGTTTTAAACTTTGGGATTATGAGTAGGTGACGTCCTGCAGAGAGCGTTAAGAGCATATTATCTGGGTGGAGCTGCTTTTCCTGTTTGTGATGCAGAGGATGAAACCAAACTCTGCACTGTAGCTGAAGCTGCCATGAAACAGCAGATAAAAAAAGATGAAAAATAACCTTGTGGATGTGGGAAAACAATCCAGTTCTGATAGGAAGCAACCATTTGGGCCCGGAGAGACCTCTTATCTTTTTTTTTATCCAATCTTTTCTTGAATTTTCTGTAATCTGTAAAGTTTTCTCTTTGAAATATTGAATAGTTTATCTTTTTTATGCTTTTACAAAGTATTGAAATAAAAACAATCTCATTCAGTTTAAAATATTTTGGTGTCTCTGACAGTATTTGGGTCTGTGGCATCGAACAGGTTAACACTCGTTGAACAGACTTTCAGTGACGTTTTGTTTTCCTAATTTAGTTTTGATGGTAGAAATCAAATCCTGAATCTTGCATTAATAAATCACAGATGCACTGATCAGTCGGCTGGGAACTGGAATAAGCAGTTTTTTAGCTTTATCGGCGGCGTCGAATATCCAATTTTCTGCTGGTCACATTTAACGCTACACCCATGCAGCGCTGTTACAGACACACACGCTAAAACATGTCGCAACGCTCGCAAGTTACAATTAAAATCAACGGAGCAGACAGATAGAGGGAGAGAGACAGGTGTGTCTGAAGGGAAAGGCAAAGCGATCAGATTAAAGTAGTTTGTGAGGAAACAATAAAAAAAAAGGTGCATAAATAAGTAGAAGTAAAATTTTGAGATAAGATATAAGCCACTAAATGCTAACCTGGAGCACTTTTTAGTTGTGAGATTTAGTTGAGATGTGTCTGAGTGAGAGAAGGTCCTGTAATCTAAGTTATAATCAATGTTTTATTATCAACATACAGCTGATGATGGCGAAAGAAAGAATTTTCCAGTAAAATATGTGTTTGCTGGCAGTTACAGTTCTTAGAAAGCAAGAAAATCGGTGCATCTCTAAGCAACATGATTTTATTGGTAGTTGAAATCAGTATTTTTATTTATATTTAAATTTTTCTACAGCAGCATCCTCTTTTCTCGGCGCTAAGCTCCATAAACCCATTGCATTGTGGGTCAGGCGGTAGGTTTTCCCATCAGACTGATGTGTGTGTATAAAATAAAAGGGGATTAAATTGTTATATTGGTCACATGATAAACTCTTTATTGTACTTAATGTTGAGAAATGGCAGCAAGGATTAATGACCTTTGACCTCTCACAGCCATTAGACGGTGAAAGGCTCCCGCTGGCTCCTCGTTAAGGTGATTGATGGCGTGCAGGGGTAATAAATCTGTGTACGGCTTTAAATGTGTGTCTAAAAATATATGAAAGGCTTTCCGCTGGTCCTGGAATGTCTGGAATATTCTCCAGGATATTCCAGGCGGTGTTAGAGTAGCTCTGTTGTGACAATGCAAAGATAAAAGCTCTTATTCCACTTTAAATATTTAACAGCAGACTGCAGCGTTTCAGCTCCAGCGAGCTTTCGCCGGCGGGAAGGTGATGTATCCCTTCGGGAGGATGAGGGATATCGAGGAAACTTCACAGACGGTTTACTTTTCAGGAACACGGCAGGATGTGTCTTCTGTTTGTTTGTTATTGTTTTACTGCCGCTGCTTATTCACGTCAACCAGCTTTCCACCGTCTCGGCAGCAGCGTCGTTTCTTGCTTCCAGCTGATGAAACATGACACTCTAATCACTAGTCGTGTATTTTAATTTGCGGTTTTATTTTCTTACACAACGTTTTATCTTGCAGGATCCTTGATGTTACTGACAACTAATCTGTTAGTCAAAAGAAGTTTGATAGGGAATTATTTAACTTGTTTCTTCGTGCATCTTCTGAGATATGAGGATCTGCTGCTTTTCTCATTATTGCTGCAAATTAAAATATCGTTTCAGAGGAAATAAGGAGTGTGAGCAATTCATTTGTCAGCTTTGTGACACTTTGGAGACTAAAACAGTAATCAACTCATCAAACGATAATCAACAGATTCTAAATAAAGCCAACCGCTGTGGAGCATTTAATCTCCAGTTTAGAAACATTTAAAATCAGATGAACTTTTCAGCTCAGCAGAGCAGGAAGAACAAAAACTGCGTCAGCTAATCACAGTTTTTTCCAAAGTCATGGAGCCTAAATGAGCAGGTTCTGGAAAGTACTTGATGACATTTACCTGATGGAGCTCTAATTACAAACTGATTTAAATAGACAACATTTCAGTCCACACCTTCGTCAAGTCAAAATATTTAATAATAAGTAGTGGGCTGATAGCTGCTTTGTTGACAGGTGTGGTTAACATCAAACCCACTCAGGGCGACAAACGTCTCACAGTGATTCACCTTAATTAGCTGCACATGCATCCGGAAAACAGGAGAACACAGACAAAAGAGAGCCTGTGTTCCTCCTTTTCGCCCCATGGGACCTTATATTGGAAAAAATGTGTTGCGGCAACAGATAATAAATGTTTTAATCCCGTTTGAATTGCGCCCTGAATTACACACATGATGTTTCTCGGTTTAAAAGATAATTAAGGCCGAGAAGGTCAGTAACATTTTGTGTGAAGCTGTAGAGTAAATTACATCTCTCTCATCTCGCACAGTATGTTAGTGTTGTAATGCTAAGCTAACTTTCACGTCTCTGCTTGCTACTGGCTAGGTAACTTAGCTATGTTCCACGCACCTTCTCACCTGATGTGTTTAATCCAACGGCTCCAGGTCCTTTCATCACGTCATCTACACATGGAAGCTCTTTGTTAGCTTCAGTCACTGAGAGAGAAACAGTTTTGACGTGGTCTTTGTAATTACGTATTTTTACAGTCCCTCCTCTTCCGGCGGACCACCACGGGACCTTATTTCGGAAAAATATTGTACGGTAGTCGTGGCAAGGGACAACAAATATTTTGATCCCATTTGAATTTGTCAATTTAAAAGATAAGTTTTAAAGTCAAGAAAGTCGCAGTTTGATGTAAAACTGTTGAGGTACCAGACTGGGAAAATACATTAATTACAAAGACCACAAACCCAAAAGTCGCGTTATGTGACGTCGTAACTGTTTCTGTCAATGACTGAAGCTAACGTCAAAAAACTAAAATGAGAGGATGATGTGATAAAAAGGACCAGGAGTCGTTTGATTAAACTTATCAAGTGAGATATATTTCCGCACGGAACATAGCTGAGTTATCTAGCTAGCAGCGAGAAAGCAATGAACGTTAGCTTAGCATTACCGCGCTAACATGTCGCCGACGTATATTGTGCGAGACGAGAGATGTAGTTCATTGAACGGGTTTCACACAAAACGACACGGAACTTTACTGATTTACGACAAACTGCGACTTTCTTGACTTGCAAAATTACGTTTTAAATTGACCAACATATTGGACCTTTCTCCATCTGTGTTCTTGTCTGTACTTGTGTTCTTGTGAAACGTCATATTTTGTAGCCCAGGTACTGTCCCAGTACACAAGTTTGCATTTTGGCAAGAACGGTAAAAATCCCGGAAGTGTTGTTGACACGCCCATTTTACCAAGTGTGCATCGTTGGTAACTTGTGCGAACTTGACGCAGAGATATCCCAGCAAACGTTTCGGCATTCAGGCGAGGGGCTGAAAGATGCAGAGAGAGAGGCCGACGACAAAGGTTTTCTACTATTTTCGTACGTTATTTCATCACTAAATCCACTTCTGAGAAGGTTTGAGGCGAGAAATCAACTGCGTAGATGTCGAATACTGGCAGTTTTACTAAAAATGATGGCGAATCAAAAATGTGCTCAACGTTTTCGTAGTAGTAAGCTGCTCCGCTCAGACAACAGCGTGCCAGCAGAGTCCAGCAGCTGTCAGATCGTTGTAACGTTCGTACCGCTGTTATTCTGTCATTACATTCTGAGTAATTTGGTGAGATTTTAACTTAAAAAAACATCTTGATGTACAAAACAAATGATCAGAAATAGTATGAAAGTCTTTGCTTTATTATTATTCTTATTATATTAGACATTACATTGCTAGTGTACAGTAGAGTTGTGGTCATAGTATTTGCTTTTATTTTATTTTAGTTATTTTTTATGTGCAAATATATCTTGGTAAGTTAAAACGTACAATAAATCCGATTCTGAGCTTTTAGTTTTGGGGGATAAAGCCTGGCTGTTATAATAATTGAGCAATGCAGGCGGCCTCTGTGCTGGGGGTGTTGCGCAATACCAGCAAGAACGCATCGTCTCAATCCGTCAGCAGCGTTTTGTGCGCTCGTGACATTGCCAGTTCATTCTTCCAAGAACGACTAGCAAGAACTCCGTTCTCCCAAGAACACAAGTCCGTTCTTTGCATTCTTGGCTTTGAGAAACACCCCATGTGTGTAATTCAGGGCTCCATTCTAACAGGATGAAAAGATAAGTTGTCTCTCGAAGAAGAGGGACTCACTGTAAGCTCGCTATATAACACATAACACATGTCAGATAGTCCAAAAGGCAGTTACATGAAAGTAGAAATATTAAAATTAACCTGTAGTTCCTCATGTTTTAGTTCCAGTCTGTAGCTTATTGATAACAGCTGAACCTTAAATCAGCTGTGTCATGCTGCTGTGACTTTATTAAAACAAATGTGTTTATTTTCTGCAGAAACTGACTTGTTTTGTTTTTAACCAGCGCAGAGTAAAAACGGGATGCAGGCTAGTATTGTTTCTGCCCACGAGGCTTAGTGCTAGTGTGTGTTTGTGCACGGCGTGGGAGTTGCTCTTGGCAGCGTCTCAGCATTTTGTTTTTCCAGAGAGTATAATATCCGTTCCCCAGAGAGAGTGTGTGTGTGTGAAATGTAAAACACCTACTCCTGTCTCTCCCCTGTGTTTTAGAAATCGTGGACTACATCGAGCGTCTGCAGGTCTTGCGGGAGATCGTGAAGAAGTTTCCCTCTGTCAACTACCAGGTCTTCAAATACATCATCACACACCTCAACAGGTAAGACGCACACTCCACATGCTCTCTGTGTGTGAACCTCCAGCCTCAACCTTCAAATGCACGTACACATGCGGTGACAGTGAACGCATCGCAGCAGGTAGCTTCATTTAGCATCGAGTCTCTCCGAGCTTTGAGACTCACTGGGCCTCATGCAACAACTTTCTTGCCTTAAAACTTTAGAAACTTTAAAATTTGCCAAGCCAGATGCACCAAACTCTCTCAACAGGACAAACGCTTGTTTCAGCCGGATGAACGCCACCTGCGCGCGAGGAGGTGCCCGTGCCATGGATTTCATCTGTAGCTTAATCTACGCCGCTTAAATTGGCGCATACGGCTGCCCGTTCGACTCCGTGTGGCGCCAAGATTACAGTCACAACCAGCAAAAAAGGGGAATTTCACACTGCAGAGCTTCAAGTCTGCTGATGTCAGGAAAAACAGGTTCAGCAGCGCCGGTAGTCATATTAGAGGATCTGAAACAGGAAGAAAATATTAATGATACAGCTGCCAACGACGTGTCGTTAGAGTAGAGCAGCGCTGTGACAGATACAAAGAGGAAACGGTCTGACACGAAATTTTAGAAAGCGAAGGGATCCGTGAGTAATATGTAGACGAGAGGATATCACAGCCTGCACGCAGTACGTGATGTGACACTGTCGGTGCAGCAGAGGATGAGACCGGACAGGAACCTGCACAAAGACCTCGAGTACTGAAGTGTATAACTACACCAATAAAACAAAAAGAAAGTAAATTGACACGGTGAACAGGATATTCATTTTGCATCAAGTCTGTTATATAATTAATGTATTTTAGTAACTTTTCATGGCAAATTTAAACTCAGAATCCTTCCAGATTAAGGCGTGATGGGGTGTTTCACCCTCAAGACAATCTGTACTCTACTCCTACGACAGGTTTGGACTACGCTAAATTTAATTTGTACCAAAGAGAGAGCTCTACATACAAGGCTGAAGGCCACAAATTCTCTTAAATCCCTCGTACCGGCCACTTAGGAACAACTTTGTTCTCACCAGTGGTTCCTACGTGAGGCCCATTGAGTCCGTCTCAGCTGTAGTTCTGCTGCTGAACTGATGGAGTAATCTGGGGCGGGTGGTGTTTCGTGTTGCAGTGAAGTGACTACCCTCGAATTCCCTCGACCATCTTTAGTTTGGGAGGATTTGAGACCCAACAACGACGTGCTCTGTAAGGTCTGCAAATTGGAAACGGCTTATCACAGCGGTACAACTGTTGCGCACAAACACGGCAAGACGGCAGGAAGTCATCTTTGCAAATCCTGTTTACTTTCCCCCCACAGAAGTACAATATATTAGAATTATCAACACGAAGAGCATGTTTCTGTAAAGGCCGCGTATGACTGAGAAAATGGCTTAAAACTTAAGACTGTTCTTACAGTCTAATTAGTGATTAAATATATCCGTGTCATAACCATTTTAAGTTTTAAGTCAGGGACTTCAGTAAGTTCTGGATTCTCCAGTTCAGAAAAGGGTCGACATAAAGTGTTTAAATTAATCTGTGTCACAACGATCCTTTAGAGTTTAAAGGTCCAGTATTTTTCTGAAACAAGCAGCGGAGGGAGGCTTCTGCAGACTACGCTGGACGCAGCGTGTGGGAGAAGCAGCCGAACAAAAGCAAGACAAGCGATCAAACTCCAAAGAGAAGCGGATAGCTACACGCTGCATGCTGATTAGTAAAACTCACAAACAGCGAGGATCAGTCTCTCTTCCAATGATTTGTGCTGCGCGTCGTGTACAAAAAGTTCAAGACAATTCAACTTCGGCAGAGGGCGGGCGGGCGCGTGCGTGAGGCGACCACTTCAACCTCACTCTAACAGGGACACTTTCTACTGAACACAGACCGTTTCTGCTGATACCTGAAAACAGATTTATAAACGTTAACCTGTTATGATTTTATGATCGCGGCTCTGGACTCTTGTTTTAACCAGCTAGATAAAAGTTAATTCCCTGGCAGTGGCAAATAGCTTTGGTTTCATATTTGATTTGATTACATTAATGTTTAAGTTGAGATTTACAAGAAATATTTTATTGCTGCTGTGTAAAGGGAATACTGCTGGTGAAAAAACACGTTATTGCACCTTTTGTGTATATAGCAGTACATTTAAATTAAAATTGCACACTACATCAGAATTCATTATTCAATTTTACGCATTACTATGTGATTAATCGCAGAAAATCATTGCCCAGCACTGTTATTAATGTTAATGGAAATTAGACTCATTTGAAAATATGCCACTATGATCGTTATTCTAAGGAGCTTTATGTGTCTCTCTTACAGGATGTTGACTGAATAAAATACTGAATTATTATTAAGACAAGCTTTTGATATTTATTTTTGATAAATTCATTTTAATTAATATTGATTGAGTAATAAGAAAAATATCCTTTATGTATATAATATAAAGTAAAATATAAATATAAAATAATAATGTATATATTCTAAACTTTACATCATAATGCAAAATGATTTTACCCATAATGCCCTGTTCGACGTAATGACAGTATTAACTTATAAAAATACACCTTTCATATCGTGTCATTAACAGTAAATACCAACAATAAACAAATTATATTTTCTTCGCATCTTCCTGGAAACCAACGCCGTCTTTTCATCTTTGTGGCTTCTCTGTGATCAATAATTATAAACGATTGATCCGTTTTTCTCCCGCAGGGTGAGCCAGCACAGCAAGACCACCCTGATGACGGCCGACAACCTGTCCATCTGCTTCTGGCCCACGCTGATGCGGCCCGACTTCGAGAACAAGGAGACGCTGTCCACCACCAAGCTGAACCAGGCCGTCATCGAGTCCTTCATCGTCCAGAGCGACTACTTCTTCCACGGCGGCGAGGTGGCCGAGAGCTCCAGCAGCGAGGGCACGCCGCCGCCGCACTGCCACAACATGGTGGAGGCCCTGCTCCCGCTGCAGCTGCCGCCGCCCCTGCAGCCGCAGCAGATCCAGCACACCCTGCACCCCGACCCGCTGATCTGAGAGCCAGAGGAGCATGCTGGGAAATGAAGTCCGGGGCTGTCTGTGTGCGCCGCCAGGCAGCTTCTGGCCAACAATTGCCGGGAGGTCAAACAAAACGCCGGTCGGCTGTTGAAATAAAACATAAAAAGACCTGGTTGGTGAATTTTTGGGTTATTCAGCAGCTGCTGTTTGTCATCGACTTTGAGGTGAACGAGCTTCGGGGGTTTAGAGACACATCAACCGTTTGTTGGATTAAACCTAATCTGTGAGATCGGCTCATCCCGCGAGGTAAATCCCGGATTAGAGAATTACAATCGGACGTCACCTTTTGGAACTAATTTGTGGATCTGACTGCCCCTTTTAGGATACGAAGACTGAAAATAGCTGATGTGTGGACTGATTTGATTCGGCACATAGTGACAACACTAACCGTTTAGCAGGGTCTGACTTGGACTCGTTATAGATTACCTTCCTCCTACCTTACCCTGACGGAATAGCACACTGGGGTCCGTACCAAACCCCCCCTTAAACCCCGCCCCCCTTTTCCCTGCTCCCAGACAAAGAAAAGGGAAGTTAAAACTCAAAGAGTCCCCACGACTGCAAATATAAAACACCTGATACCGACTGAGTCATTAGATATTTGACGGACTGTTTGCACGCTGAGATCTTCAGCACAGGAAAACATTTCTTCTTCTTTTCTTCTTCTTCTTCTTCTTCTTTTGTCTTTTGTTGTTGCCCCTTTCACCCCAGAAACCGGTCAGTAAGTAAGAGGAACGTTTCATTTCTGCACCAGGCGTCCAACAGCCTCACACACACAGATTTATGAACCTCGTGGAAATATGAGAAAGCGTGGATTATCTTAAGCCTCTGTTTTTAAATACTAGGAGAGAAAATGAAATGACCCTCCTACCCACCACATGAACTTTGACCCCTTAAAGGACAGCACATGCACGATCCGTGTCAAAAGTCCCAAATGCCAATTTCACGTTTGTTTGTGTAGTTTACATTTTTATCATCTTTATTTCTCTTGTTTTTATTTTTATATAATTTTTTTTGGTAACGTCTTAATTTCAACCCTGTGTGTGTGCGTGATGACGATGGTGTGTGTGTGTGTGTGTGTGTGTGTGTGTGTATCTGTGTCACAGCCAGTTAGAAACCTTCTCTGCTGAGGGAAGGGGGGGGGGGGATCCAGGAAGGGAAAACAAATTCAAAATCCTTCCGGACTGACGGACTCGTGTAGCTCCGTACGTGAGATCCAGACTTTACTACGAACCTTCAGCCTGTCTCGTCTCTTCTCTAACTCTTAACGCAACGACTGACGTCTCTCGTTCTGAAGGAGACGACCCCGACCCCTCGATGATGGCACATGAGCGAGGAAACCACTACGTCGGGATGCATTCTGGATTGGATTTCAAGGAGGACGCCTCCCACTTTTTTGTCATTTCAATTTTATTTTATTTTTTTCTTCTGTTGGTTTGTTGGAAAATTAAAAAATTTGCATGTCTCTGTTTTGCCACTTAGTGAAAAAAAGAAGAACTTTAAAGTAAAAAAAAAAAGAAAAAAAAAAAAAGAAATGAAACTCATTGAAACTCCGAATGGAGCGTTTGATCAGATCGTTTTATCTGAATCTTTCTGGTTTGAGGGGAACATTTCCACAGAGGGGGTTTCATTTTCTTTTTGCATTTGTTTCTTTTCTGTCAAGCAAGAAATCAACTCTTAATATCATATTTTTGGTTATATGTCGAATAGTTTTCCCTAAATAGAGGAAAGAAGTATATATAAGTATATATATATATAAATATATATATAAATTTATCAGCAGCAGAGGTTCCGATTTAGTGAAATACCACGGGGTACTGGACTGTATAATCTGTCACAAGCTATAATCATATTTCTTTGTGGTTCTGATGGCGTGACTGAAACCCATCTTTATTTTTCTGATGGTGTGTATGTGTGTGTGTATATAGAGGGGAGGGGGTTTGATAACAGATGGTTGAGTTTTAACTCCTCTTCGTCCCTCATCGCTTAAACCTTGGCTCACCTTTGCCCCGGTTTGTCTCTTTCGTGTATTTGTACACGTGCCGAGCGCCGTTTTCCCTGAAAGACAAATCCCCCTCCCCCCGTGACGATGTTCTGCAGGAGTCTTCACAAACACTCTTCTGTCCATCTGGATAAAAATGAAAAAAAATTCCATCTGCTTTATGATAACAAAGATTTTTAACCTGTTTTCCACGTTGGAACAAGGATGATAGTCGGAAATGATAACGCTTTATTTTGCAGGTCTGAATAATTTCCGTAAAGTTTCCTGGAAAGAATATTTACTCAAGTGCTGTGCTTACAGCTTTGAGGTACTATACTTGAGTATTTCATTTTATACTTCTACTCCACTACATGTCCGAGGGAAATATTGTAATTTTAAGTATATTTAACTACTTTTAACAGCTGTACTTCTTTAAAAAATCTTCCAGATCTTTTATTGCTAATAGAGGATGTTTTTGGGTACGTAGTGGTATTGCTACTGTTACCTGACTAAAAAATCTAAATACTTCCACCTCTGGTAATTTGGTACTAATTATAGGAATAATACACTCTGTTCAATTAGCACACTTCTAATCAATTAATTTCAGTTAATTGCTTTCGTCACCCAGAGAACCTTTAATCAGGACACAGCAGCTCAACATGTGTCTACAGGCAAACAGTTCAACATATACAGATGGTGAAGTGTTTATTTGAGTTTTTATTTTAAATAAATTTAGTTTCTCATTTAATAGTATCACATGACGCAGTTCTTTCCAGACAATGTCCTAAGAAAAGTATTTTGAAAGCGTTATCGACTTATTTTACTGCACTGTATGACGTGAACCAAAATTAAAAACTTATAATAGCAGCTGTAGAGTTTATATTACTGTGATCTTTATTAACTTGTATATTTATACTCAATAATGTGTTTTATTATAAAGGGAGGTACTGTATGTCACTCCAGGCAGCAGTTTTTGTTTCGATGTCAGGCTAAATGTCTCTTGATTTTTATTTTAAATCATCTGACGGGAGTATTATTCAATCCAGATGTACAGAAGAGATTCTTTTAGTCTGAAAACAACTTCACACAACAACTGTGTATTTCATAAAAAACTGATACTGGGCTCTGACCCGAGAGACACAAAGTGAAAATACACACATTTACTTTGTGGAGGTACTGAATTAAATATTTAAATAACTTGAAAGGGTCAGATGGAGTCCTGATTTCCACTGTGGAAACTTCAAAAGTCTTTTTTTTGGTCAACTGTTATTCTGAACTTCAGTACTTTTTAATTTAAAGACTTTTCTGGTGCAAATTTCAGAGACATAAAAAACAAGATAAGACTCTTTATACAGCAGCAAGAAAACACGAACTCTTTCATGACCTTCCCCTCTGTCCTTTCTGCAGCCCGGTCAAGTTCATTACCCCTTAAACTTAACTTTAAACGTCTTATCAGCTGTCCATCACACCCAGAATGCATTGCTCTTGCCAGCGGCTGTTTTGCGTTTATGTTTGGTGCTACTAAGTAGAAAATATTGGGAGTGAAAGTGAAATTGAGAGCAGCTGTTGTCACTTTAAAAATGGTGTCAGCAGCCGCTAAGTTTCTTTTCCTTAACGTTCCCCCGACTGAACCAGATAACTCCGATTTAACTTTGGGATTTTTCAGTTTTCACCCAGATTGTTTCCAGCTTTCTCTAAGTGTTTCGTTGAGCGATGGGGGATGAATCCAATTATACAAGAATGTCGAACGGGGGGGGGTCCCATTTCAGACGTGCGTCTCATGTGTCCTCGCCGGATGGTCAACTGTTTCCTACACGGCGTCACAAGACATTTCTTGGTTGAGATTGGAGCTTCTCTCTCTCTTTTTTTTAATTTATATTTTGATCGTTTTAAGTAAGTGATTACGCGAAAATACCAGAAATTTGCTGCTTTTCAATGCAATATTTGAGGGTTTTAGATTGTTCGTCGGACAAAACAAGGTACTCCTACCGGATATTTTAGAATGAAAACAAAACGTGAGCGGACACAAACTTTTAAAAGGGTAGGAAAGGAACGAAGCCAACAGCTCAGCATAGATTTTAATTTGAGGGAAAAGGTCGTCCTGAAGGGAAAGAAATGGAGCCAAAAGCCTGTCCTGATTCTGATTTAGCTGACTTTAAAGGGCACTTTGAAGGGGACACGTGTCTGGAATGGAGACCTGCTGCAGACAAACGTCATAAATAAATATTCAGAGTGGAAGTAGCCAAAGCTCATTTGAAGGTTTTATGTTGTTGGACTGAAGAGGACATTGAAGGGCACATTGAAGGGAGCGAATGGCGAGAGTGGAACAGAACCGGGGGGGGGGTTTCAACAGCTGCTAGATACTAAAAGATTAAAAGCTGTTCGTCTGTAGTTTTTCATCAATCAATCAACTTTTTACTTTTAAGATCTGTTCTCATCCAGTCACACCGGTGTACAAACCAACTGACTTTTAACACCATCCGCTGTGTATCATAGTAAATAAAAATGATTTTCAGAAATGAAAAAGCTCTAAAACAAGTTGTTTTTTTTCTGTTTTCTCTCCATAATGTTTCCAAATAAAAGTTTCTTTTTTTTCCAAAAGCTGCCTTTGACTCGAGTTTTTCTACTGTATCTTTATTGGGTTTAGAAATAAACCTTTATATATTAGTTTTCCATATGAAGCTGTGACGTTCAACTGAAGGAACTTTCTCAAGGACATATAAAGTATCTCACCAAAGGTGAGCACACCTCTCACATTTTTGTAAAGACTTGATTAAATCTTTTCATGTGACAACACTGAAGAAATGACACTTTGCTACAATATAAAGTAGTGAGTGTGCAGCTTGTATAACAGTGTAAATTTGCTGTCCCCTCAAAATAACACATCACACAGCCATTAATGTCTTAAACCCTTGGCAACAAAAGTGACTGCACCCCTAAAGCCCCCGACATGCTTGCTTTTAACAATGCGTAGGCAACGCAAACGGCGTTGTTCACATACTTGCCTGTGTAATTTGCCTGTACCTGGAGGATTAAACGTGAATTCACCGGGGGCAGATCATCCCTCAGCGACACCGGATTATCTTCCTTGACAACCTCCGAATTTGCACAACATAAACAAACCAAACATGGCGAAACTTGAAGAGGTTAAGATTTTAATGATATATTATACGATCTCAGTAAATGCAGTTTTGTGTTTAATGGCGGTTGGCAAACCAACTGCACACCGCCACCACCTTGGCTGGTGTGTGGAACAGTAGATTGCTGCTGAGCTGCCGGTCAGATCCACATACTGCCTCCACGTTCATGCGCTGAATTGAATCTCGCGGACATGTATCATTAATTTCAAGGGACATGCAGAACCTTCGCTCCAAAGGAACGCAGGATTCGCGTGGCAGCCATCTTTCGTACATAAACACGTAATTAAAAGCAAGTATATCGGGGGCTTAAGGGAAAATGGCTAAATGGGCCCAATTTGGACATTTTCACTTTGTGTGATGTGTTATTTTGAGGGGACAGCAAATTTACACAAGCTGTACACTCACTACTTTACATTGTAGCAAAGTCATTTCTTCAGTGTTGTCACATGAAAAGATTTAATCAAATGTTTACAAAAATGTGAGGGGCTATCTCAGTACTGTACACAGTAGTACTGTTAGTAGAAGTTGCAGTACTAGCAGTCAGTTGTGAAAGTATTGCGTGAAATATTGATCTTTTAAAATGGATACTTTACAAGTGATAACAACTAACGTATTTAAAGAAAATGCAATACCCCACTATAAAAAAAAATACTCGTAAAAGTAAAGCATTGCATTCTAAAAGTACTCGGGAAACTTCTTACATTTACTCAAGGTCTGTTCTTTGGGGAAAAGTGTTGCAAGTACTTACCTTGTACTTATATCCAGTTACATTTTACTCCACTACATGTATGCAACAGCAACAGTTACTGGTTACTTTCAGATAGAAATAAAAAACATGATGCCCAAACTCTGACACTTTCAACTCCTTGCTAAAGACTTATCTTTATTCAAACAGAGTTGAGTAGTGACATTTATTTTATACTTTTCTACTGTTGTCATTGTGGAAAGCACTTTTGTCAACTAGTGTTGTTTTTAAATGTGCTATATAAAAAACTTGACTTGATGCACTTATAAAATAAAACATATACAGTATATGTTTTATTTTATAAGTGCATCAAGTTAAAGGTTAAACCAGTGGTTTCAAACCTTTTTATGTTTGGGCCCCTCATGATGAAGCAGGGGCCTTCTGTTGTATTTCAGATGTTGTTAGCAGTAAATTTCCCTTCTAAACTTCTCAGATGGTGACATGTAAATTAAACTGTCCAATCTTTCACACAAAAAGAAAAGAAAAGTTTTCTCCTAAAACAATAAGATTTGTGTATCAGAACATTGTTTTTTCTTCTTCTCTGACCCCTAGATTGGGAACCACTGGACTAAACTAGCTAACTGTATATAAAGTTGTTAAAAAAAACGCAGGAGACATTTTACTGCAGAACGAGTGCTTTTAATTTAGACTTTTTTATGTTTTAAATGCATATTGTTGATCTGTAAAACAAAAAGTACAATATTTACTCATGAAATTTAGTGGAGTATAAGTATAAAGTAGTATTAAATTTAAGTACTCCAAGTGTAAGTGCCTCAAAGTTGTAAGTGAGTATTTGTACTTACTTTCCAGCGTTAGTGGTAGTAACAGGAGATAATTCACAGTTTGGTGTATTTGGTGTTTATGTGTGGCTCCTTTTAAGATGATTTACATAGTAGTATGAATATCTGACCTCTGCTGATTCAAACAATAGTTATTGAGAAGGTTAAGTGTGCCATCTAGTGACCAAATGCTACGCTGCACACCACAAACGCTTCAAAAGTGAAGGTTCAGATGTACCAGTGCTCTCAAGTTTTCAAATCAAAAATTTGGAGTGAGATAACACGTGTTAGAGGAGGGCCACTCAAATATTTGCAGCAGCAGCCCCATGGCCCCAGACAATTCCCTCAAGTTTTTACTAGCAGTTCATTTTTACCTATAGTTGGTAATTGACCCGAACAAATAGAAATTATAACAATAGGTAAATCAGATAAAAGACTACATACATTTCAAAAATACAAATTTATCACAAATAAAAAGAAATTTGCCCCAAACGAGCCCACTGAACTGCAGTGCTCAGTGTATATTGTACACATAGGCCTAGGATTGCAGAACTTGCCCTACGTTTGTATCCCGAGCTGTGTGTGTGACATTTCAGCTTATGAACGGTGTTTTGTGCTGTAATTGTTTGTTGCACATTTTAATGCCGGGTGATGATGACAGGGGTTGGGGTCTCAAGGCCAGCCATTTTCACCATCATGATGGATGACAGCTTTCCGTCCAGAGCCAAGATGTGGAAAAACATCTCTAGTCCTTTTTTCAGGTAGCCAAAGCCAAGCCCAGTGGTGGACAGCAACAAAGTAGTACTGTACTTAAGTACACAAGGCATTTGTACTAAACTTGAGTGTTAGGGAAAATATTGTACTTTTTACTTTATCTGACAGCTTCAGTTACTAGTTACATTAAAAATAAGCTTTTTACACACAAAACGTATGAAGGGTTAAAAAAATTAGGATATTGTGATATAAATTAAATTACTTATGCATGTCCAGCTAGTAGAACATAGGCTAATTGACATAAATTTAATTGGAAACTGTTTTGGTATTAGTCATTTTTCATGTAAAAACAATTCATGGTTCCAACCTCACAAACATGAACATTTGCTGCTTTTATTTTATTGTTTTAATGTATTTTTAATAGTTTTGAGGTTTGAACTGACAAAATAAGCATTGTGAAGGTGTCACTTAGGGCTCTGGGTAACTGTGACAACATTTCTCACTATTTTCACAATTTATTAAAGCTGATTAATTCTTAATTAAAATAACTATTAATTGCAGTTTGATACAAAATACCCTCATTTAAGCACAAGGAATAATAATCGAATGATATAATATATAATAGTATAACAGTCATAGGGGATATTTTTCTTTCTGCTTTGAGTAGGCTATTTTTATTTTTAATAGGCTACTACTACATTTTCCTGCTTATAGCTACTTACATACTTTTATTTAACTTTTCCAATGCGGAGTATTATACAGATAGGTATTAGTACTTTTATTATTTTTTAAAGGATCTGAATAGGCCCAAGTTTTTTAACCACTGGCTGAAAAGCCAAGCTTCTGGTTTCAAAGAGGTTGGAGAATTTTGACTGCATCAATAGTAATTTAGCAATTCAGCAATGTTTCAGTACTCCCCAACATCAGCTGCTCTCACTATCTTTGATCACAGCCTATTCGTCCAGGAATCTAAAAATCAAAATGCAAAAAACCTACAATTACCTCATCCATCGGGTCTTGCATTTCCAACTTCCACTCCGTGTGGGCACGCGTATCCATGTTGCCTAGTTGTAAAGAACTCAGTGGCGGCTCCTGCCAAATCTCTCAGGGGAGGCAATTGTTGCGATGATGTCTAAGGTGACCAGTTCGATGGTCTAAGTCTGCTATAAGACAAGGATTGTTCCTTAGGCTACATACTGTACAGTATTTGTGAACAGCTACATCCTGAAGTTCATTGTCAATGTCTACAATGAATGAACAGTCCACAGTTAACATCAACAGATCTTTAGACCTTTAGATGTAAAGGAAACTACTTTAACAATAATGATAAAAAGAATGACTCACACAATCATCTGTGACAAACCTTTTATTTAGGAACATTAAATCCAGAATAAAGCGCAGTGGCACTGGGCTGATGATGTGCAATGAATAAAATTATTTACAGTTAATCTTGCGTTGCAGCTAAGGGACCCCTCTCAAGTTATAGGCTACAGTTATGAAATAATGTCACACAGGTGGATCAAACATAGCTAATCTTTAAATGTTTAATGGGGTACAGAGGAGCACAGAATTTCTTTTCATTCTTTAAGGTACACAGATTACATAAGACTAATAAGTTAAGCAGAGAGTGGTAAAAAGATCCACTTGTTATCCTGTAGTTACACAGTATTATTAGGACTGTTCTCCTGTACTCTATAATCACACAGGAACAACGAGCTATGTGTTGTTCAAGGCGTGTAAGGGGAAATATAACAAGTATATTTTATTGTTTTGGTTTATTTTCTGTGTTGCTTTCCTTCTTCTTCTTCTTTTTACCCTCCTGAGATGCAAGTGGTGACCACATCATGCTAACCTGACCTCAACTTTCTTCTTTGGTTTCTGGCAATAAAAGAAAAAAAAACACATCAAATAATTGTTACTGGTTGAGTGCAGCTAACTTTAAATTGACTCCACCAACACACATAAAACATGGCTTAATAACAATCGCATTTAACGTGAGCATAAAATTCGGCTTCGGCGCAACAAGCTGGAGGATAGCTTTTTTTCCCCAGCCGTTTTCAGGTGGCAGAAGATTTACCAAAAGAGGCGGGACTCCCCGGAACACGACTTGACGCCGATTGGACAGCGATATTCAGTCACAGCTAACTAACAGTGTGGTAGAAAGTGTGAGAAAAATATCCCCTGCCTTTCCCGGTGTAACACCAAAATCTGTGACCT